CCATCAGTGATATTGGGCAGACACGAAATTCTAGGTAAGTTTTTAATTTTTTTTTTTTGCCTTTTTCAAAAAAAAAAAAAAATTGGCGAATCACAGCCCGCCACGTGGCGAACCCGTGACGAACGGATTCACCACGACGAACCCACGCGCGCCGAGTTCATCACTGTTCCTCTCGAAAAACGTGTGAACCCCCGCTTAAATCCAGTAATGGGCATGCTCTTAACGACAAGTATATTTCCTAATGAGTGTTACAAAAAAAAAAAAATCTTCCCAATGGTTTCTAACCAACTTAGCATTAATAGCTTTCATGTAATTTAATTAAAACTAGATTTTCAAGCGCGAAAAAAATTTTTGATTAAAAATTTATATAATTGGGTTTTTTTTTTATTTAAAGTATGTGTTGGTATAAAATCAGTAATCCAAAATTTGTGGTGGTGATTATTTTGCATTAAAGAATGCTGACTTTCTAATATCATTATGTAATTGGGTTTTATCTTAATTTAAAGAATGTTTTGGGATAAAATCAGTTCACCAAAATTTGTGGTGATGACTGTTATTCATTAGTTTTCAGTTTCAGTTTTTATTTTTAGATTTTGGCTTTTATTTTTTAAGTTTCTATTTTTCATTTTCAGCTTTTGGTTTGGGTTTTTAATTTTTAGACCCGCTGAGTTAGTTTGAACTGATATTACTAAGAAACAAATCCCAAATAATCGAACATCTAATTTAAAACTGAAAAGATGACAAATTTTTTTTTAAAGAAATTTGCAATAGTTTATTTCGTAAATAAATAAAAGCAAAAAAATATAACATGTTTTTCAGTTTTTGGTTTTGGATTTTAGTTTTTAGATTTGGTTTTTGCTTTTGCTTTACATTTTTTATAAATCAGTAAATTATTTAAGAGAAATAAAAAAATAAATTATTTAAAAGTTACCATTGAAATTTATCAAAACAAAATGATTGTTATTTAAAATAAAAAATACATTAACATGTTTTAAAGTACATGATTTAAATAAATGATTAATAATAGACAATTTTGTTTTGTTTAAAAATATTAAATACCTTTTTGGCTTGAAAATAATAACTGATTTTTTATCCATTAAGGTGAAAAGTTTATTCAATTTTTTTGGAGTTTTTCCTTAATACTAAGCCCAAAAACCAAACCATATAATTTGTTCTAAAAACAAAAGTAAGCCCAAGACTAGATCTCATAAATAACCATCGGTTTAATTTAAGTAATGCGGTTCAATTAACTATATGACTTGTATTATTTGTAACACTCTAGAAAGAGTCCAAATTTAAATGACAACTTGTATCAGTAGATAAAAAGAATGACTCTATTTTAATAGAATAGAAGTAAATTTTAATTCACAAAAATTAAAACAAACCAATAAAAAGAGACATGTAAAGGGTATGTAAGTATTATTTAGGACAGGTTCTCTCACAAACATTAAATCTGAAAGTATCCCTAAGTATTACCATAAACCCATCGTACTAGTCTTCAACATATCATAAGCGTAGTATAAATGCATCAATGATTAACCAGGGGTTATGGTTTAGTGGTGATTAATTTGAAGGCAAAAAAAAACTTAATACGGTGAAGCTATGAGAATTTGAGATCCGGTCAATGAAAAATTAACATTTCGACATCGCTAGAAAAAAGGATCGACAAGTAGCAACACATGACTAATTTGGATCATTTCTATGGTATCAAGATATCTTTGTATAATTAAAAAAATAAAAAATAAATGCATCATTTATACAATATTCCAAACTTTACTTCTTCATAAGAACTTGGACATTTATGAGAGCCTTACGAGCATATATCCTCGTACACTCTCATCTTACGCAACATTAAGTACCGCTATGGCTATAGCGACTCAATTGAGATGGCAACTCAAACTCTTTTTCTCACTTGTATAAGTATTACTCGTAAACTTTAATATAAGCGATTTTTATTATAGTCCGGAACATGCTTAAACGTTCCAAAAGAACCAAGGTTAAAAGATGACGAATAGTTTGAAAAAAACATGGCCTCGTCGAGCCGAAATACATAGACTTTAAGATACAGATTTAAAGCCTCTAAAAGAGGCAGCTATCTCTAGCGTTATTACCTTGCAGGCAGTCCCGGCTCTACCCATGTGCCCAAGGTGCATGTGCACTGGGTCCAAGTTTTTTAGCAATTTTTTTAGGTAGAGTTTAGGCCCTTTTCAAAAAAAATTAGGGCCCTTTTTTTTACAAATTATGTGTATTGTTTTTAAGATTAGCACAGGGTCCAGAGTGAGACTGAGCCGGGCCTGCTTGCAGGTCCTCAAACTCGTCCATCTCAACATCAGTCAGGAGTTTCACAGGTCTTGCCTATATCTGCAGAATCTTGAAGCATCTTCCTCCCAAAGATATGTTCCTCAGAACCAACGAAGAAGGGCTGGGAAGCATGCAGTCGTGCTTCAGACCTACAAGGATCGAGTTGAACTCTCTCTTAATCACTTCTAGCTCTTTTCAATGAACATTTAGCTTCCCTAGCATGGACTTGAAGGGCAGAGTGTTCTCTTCTCTTGGTGGAGAATTTTGACTTCGTTGATACTTCCCCTTGACACCTACAAAATCCTCATCTCGGCCGTGGACCTTCGACAGTACGTCGAGAGAGCCCACAATATTGTCCAAGCAGGATTTAAACTTTGTACACGATAAAATCTTCACTGCCGCCTTAACCACTTTCTTCTTACGATTCACAGAATTCGTTTAGCCAAAACTCACTCCTCTAACTAACCTACATGATGTCAAAATGAGTTGAGTCTCAGCTCAGCTCATGGTGAGGTCGGATCTTTCATGAGCTAGCTCAGCTCAGCTCATTTATTATATGAGTTTCAATATGCAAACTCAAACTTAGATCATCTAGGTCATGAGTTAAATGAACTAACTCGCGATCAGACATAAAAAATAAAAATTATAAAAATAATTAAAAAGTATAGAACATTTTTTATAATATAATTTAAATTTAAAAATCTAAAGCGTTAATATTAAATATTGAATAAAACAAATACCTAATAATATATTAAATCAAAGCTAAATCAGTGATCCAAAAATATATTCTACATAAGAATATTGTGATGATTTATATTCAAACTCTTTATATATTCAAATCGTAAAAATATATGTTCCGCATGAAAGTCTTTAAAATATTTACTTTTATCTTTTAATCTAAGGATATATGATATGAGGATTTATATAAATATTATTTTACATTTTATATATATTTATTACTTTTTGGTTTTACATTTTAATTTTATAAGATACATATGATTAATATAGAAACTATTTTTTCTTCCATAAGAAAAATAGAAGTCATCCATATATACATAAAGTATAAAATGACCAAACTTATGAGTTAGCTCATGTTCATTAAAGATCGTTCGTACAACTCGTGATCTAATTTAAACTCGAACATTAAAGTCATTTATTAAATGAGTCTAAAAAATAGAGATCATGAACCAGCTCATGAGCTATAACTCATTTTGTCACCCATCATTTGGTTTGGAGATGTCGTTCTTTGCTTTCGTAGTAGAAGGTTTTCAAATTAAATTTTGAAAAAATGATATTTATAAATATGGATATCAAAATGAAAAGAATTTTTCTTTGCTTCTACATACATATATATATTGTATCATCAAACTATGAAATAAGGATAAATAAATATGTTGGAGGTATACCAAATTGATTTTAATTGTTAATAAAAAAAACAATTGTTTCTAACTAACTCCTCTATGTTTGCTTCCCTAAAACCAACCCTGGCCATTTTCGTCTACAAAAGTGCTTTAAACCATAGCATGTCTTCAGGTATAAAGAGAAGATAAAATGTGTCTTTTTAGGTAATGTTCTCTTGATTCTTGAATTATCATAATTTCCACGTAAATCTTCTCTTGATTTAATAAAATGTAACAAAGTACATTAGTCACTATCATTGCGAACATATCAACTAACAACTGTTAGTATAATCTTCATGACATTACAATGATGGACGCTTCTCCAAATCTTTCTTATATCTGAAAAGTGAGGAACTCTAACATATATAGTTACCTATATAGAGTTTTTTTTGTTACTATTAATTGTGGTACGGTGCGGTGCAGTGCGGTTTGTAACATTAGGATCCTTATGCTTAGTCAGTTTTTTTTTTCTTGTTTCCTTAAAGTCGGCCAGATATTTTTTTCTGGCTCTTTTCTTATTCTTTCAGATCTTTTTCCAGTCAAGCTACTACAATTTAATTGTTCTCCTATAACAGACCCCTCTCAATTTAGGAAAAGTTTTAAGTGAGGATGTGCAGCATATGTTCAACAACATCAATGTCTTAGCTATATATATTTACATAGTTGGACTTTTGTTTTAGATTACTTTCAAGAACTTTTCCTTGTATAAATGTAGACATTTTATAATTAGAATTTGACTTTGATTAATCTAAGTAGAACTTTGCAAAACAAAAGAATAAATAACAACGTTGACTTTCATGAACAATAATTTTGTTTGATGAAGGTCCTCCACCTATAGTAACTATGATATAATTTATCATATCTAAAAGTCAAACATATCTAAAATAACTAGAACTTCAAAAATATCGACAGTTGACTTTTATTAACAATAAAATTATCATATCTATTTCAACTGTATTTACTCTCGGGATTTCTTATCCAACAAGCCTAGGAGGATGAACGTAGCATTCCAGAACATTTTTTATTCAAAACAACATCCTATAAGACATTTAACAAAGGTGTTTCAAAAAAGCATCTAACAAAGAAATTTGATTTGATTAGTTGGAAGGGGTCTATGAATTAAAAATAATAATTATAATGCCACAGGTGGGATAAAAAAATAATTATAAGGCCACAGGTGGGATGAATATACTAGTCATAGATTGTAAAAATAATATAATTTATATGTAGACCAAACCAATATACCATATCCAGAAGAGCAATGAAAAGAGGGAAAATTAAGAAAGTGATGGAAATGAATTCAAAATTAACAAATGTGGATATACCATTAAAGATGCCAGAGACTTTGCTTCTATAAATTTCTGCCATCTCAGCCTCAAAAACCACCACGGCACAACCACATCTCTCTTTCTTGCTTCTTCCTTCATCACCATTAACGTAGCTTGACGGTGAGATCAGTTACACAGTTCTTTATTTATACATTAAAATCAACAAACTTGAGTATCCGTTAGTACTGTGCAAGTTCAAGTTATATTTTTTTGGTAAAAAGTCGAACAATATTGTAAAACTATTGGCAAAGTTATATATAGTTTGAACTTGAATAATTGTTCCATGCATTATTGTTTAAGTTACTTTAGTTTGCTTATATTAACATTTTTTGTTAGTTGGTATTGATAAAGATAATACCTAATATTTCATATAACTGCTAGAACAGTAGGATATTAATAATAAACAATAGTGTTGAATTAAATTTCTGTGAGGCTATCAATTTGAGAACTTTATTTATAGAAGATAAATGTCACAGACTACATGACAAAAAAGAATGTCATTGACTTTAAAGTGTGTCCAGTTACTCTATCGAACGTTTAAAACGATGTCCTACAACACGAAATATTTACTTTTCATATGTAAATGCAGGAGCCCCAAGAGAGACTAAGATGGCCGAACAACAACTAGGAGTGCTGAAGGCACTCGATGTTGCGAAAACGCAACTTTATCATTTCACAGCGATTGTTATCGCTGGAATGGGTTTCTTTACTGATGCCTACGATCTTTTCTGTGTCTCTTTGGTGACCAAGCTTCTTGGACGCCTCTACTATTTCAATCCATTATCAGAAAAGCCTGGCTCACTTCCCCCTCACGTTGCGGCTGCGGTCAATGGTGTGGCTCTTTGTGGGACTCTCGCTGGTCAGCTATTCTTCGGATGGCTCGGTGACAAGCTTGGAAGGAAAAAAGTGTATGGTATTACATTGATCATGATGATCGTGTGCTCTGTGGCTTCCGGTCTCTCTTTTGGTAACCAAGCTAAGGGTGTCATGACCACTCTTTGCTTCTTTAGGTACTTTTATCATATATTCACATGCTGTATAGAATAATCTAATTTTCTATATTTTGTAAAATATATATATACATATTTATTAACATGTCCTCAATTTTTGTCTAGGTTTTGGCTAGGATTCGGTATTGGAGGTGACTACCCTCTTTCTGCCACCATCATGTCCGAATATGCTAACAAGAAGACTCGTGGGGCTTTCATCGCAGCAGTGTTCGCCATGCAAGGTGTCGGTATCTTGGCCGGAGGTTTCGTGGCACTTGCGGTTTCTACGATTTTCGACAAGAAGTACCCAGCTCCAACCTATTTAGTTGACAGGGCTCTCTCAACGCCTCCTCAGGCTGACTACATCTGGCGAATCATCGTCATGTTTGGTGCTCTACCAGCAGCCTTGACTTACTACTGGCGAATGAAGATGCCTGAAACCGCACGTTACACCGCTCTAGTTGCCAAGAACATCAAACAAGCCACGCAAGACATGTCCAAGGTCTTACAAGTGGAGCTTGAGATGGAGGAAAGAGCAGAGGATGTCGTTCAAGACCCTAGACTTAACTATGGCTTGTTCTCCAAGGAATTCGCCAGACGCCATGGACTTCCCCTCCTCGGATGTACATCCACTTGGTTCTTGCTTGACATTGCATTTTACAGCCAAAACTTGTTCCAAAAGGACATCTTTTCAGCTATTGGATGGATTCCAAAGGCAGCAACCATGAATGGAATCCATGAGGTTTTCATGATTGCTAGGGCACAAACACTCATTGCACTTTGCAGCACTGTCCCCGGCTACTGGTTCACGGTTGCGTTTATTGATATTATGGGAAGGTTTGCGATCCAGCTAATGGGCTTTTTCATGATGACTGTCTTTATGTTTGCTATCGCCTTTCCATATGACCACTGGATCAAACCCGACAACCGTATCGGATTTGTCGTCATGTACTCTCTCACTTTTTTCTTCGCCAACTTCGGGCCAAACGCAACCACCTTCATTGTACCAGCTGAAATCTTCCCAGCCAGGCTAAGATCCACATGCCATGGAATCTCGGCAGCGACAGGTAAGGCTGGAGCCATTGTGGGAGCTTTTGGTTTCCTATACGCAGCTCAACCACAAGACAAGACCAAGACAGACGCAGGATATCCACCAGGCATTGGAGTTAAGAACTCTCTGATCATGCTTGGTGTCATTAACTTTATCGGTATGCTCTTCACCTTCCTTGTCCCTGAACCTAAGGGGAAGTCCCTTGAAGAACTCTCCGGTGAGACCGAGGTTGAGAAATGATTATGCCTTAATAATTTCAATTGATATTTGTTTGTGTCCTTGTGCTTGTAACTTTTTGTGAAGTGTGACGTGATATTTGTAATGGTGCGCCTGTACTTTTGTATAATTTAAGCAATTCTCAAAGAATTGATAAGAAGTAAGCATTTGTACATATTGATTCTTTCAATTTTGTTACTTACAAATCTGTTAATATTATTTTCTTTTAAAAGAAAAATGAAGATCTTACAACTTACAAATCAACAGTTTTCTTTTTTCAACAAAAAATACAGTAGAGCCAAACTGCAGTTTTTAACCAAACTCTACCTTCATGGTGTTGTCAGAATGATTTGGAAGGATCTTATTAAAATTAGTATAGAAACGCCGCGAGCCAGTGTCTTATATAATATAGTTTCTTTTCTAAATGTGGCTTATATAATAACATTTTCTAAGAAAAAAACAGTTTATTTTTGTAATAAACTCAAAAAACTCCCGACTGATGCAAATATCATGGTTCATATCTCAAGATACCGCTGAGCCTTGAGTATGTGGTGATACCAAAAAATAAAAAATAGGAAAAGAAAATGGAAGAACTAGAAGAAAACGTTGAGGTTATGGCTCCGATTGGTAACCATCGCGTAATCGCGGAATCGCGAAAATAATAGTTAAGTTGCGGAAAAAATTAATTAAGTCGTGGAAAAATTTAAAATTTGCGGAATGGCGGAATATATATTAAATTGATTAAAATATTTTATATGGTTTTTAATTTGTTATAAAAAAAAACTAGTAATAATTAAACTAATTATTACAAAAGTGAAAACAACTAAAATTTATTAAAAACATTTTAGTTTTTATTATAAATATCTAACATATCTTTCAATACATTTTAAAAATAGATTTTTTAATATATAAATTATAATAGAACTTTATTTACAACATAATTATTTATCATTAAAAATTATTGATATGTATTTTAGATTTTAAGATAGTATTAGCATATAATTTAATAATATGAAAATATTAGTTTGTAAATCTTTCCACCATAATCTACTAAAACTCACTTTTCCACTTAATAAATTTTCTCTTTATATTTTTGTCAGCAAAAACGCAAACTTGCGTTTTCGCATTTTTTTTTCATTCCGCAACATTTTGTTGATTGGCAAAATTCTTGCGGAATCGCGTTTCATAAGCCATTCCGCCATTCCGCATGGTTACCAATCAATGCCTATGTATGTGAATGATGATGCGTCTTCGCGGGAGTTAGTGACTGCTTAAAAGAAAGAGAAATTTAATAGAATAGTGTAGAAAAGTTGGTATATAACTATAATGATATACATTTTCTAAAAATTACATTAATGTTTTCAGACCCATAAGAAATTATAATAAAGACCCTTGTTTAATTTTTTTTGTTTGAGATTAATTTTAATTATCAAATCCACATCACTAATTAGGTAATCCACGTCACTAACTTTTGTGACACGGGAAAATCAACCGTCTCCATATTTCCGGTGACTAGAAAAAAAATCATAACGTCACAACTTTCTTTTTTTTCGTCTTCAAACCCTAACTGTTACCCAAATCGTCTCGTCTCGAACGGTCTATGATATTGTCTTCTTCGAAAACGTCTTCTCCGCAAAAGTTTCTACTCAATTGTCTTCGTCGCAATCGTATCATCTTCTCCGATATGTTGTCGCTTAGTCAAACTTATATTAAGACTGAGTTTGATTTACGATGTGGATGAGTTATAGATTATCTTGTAACTGAGTTATTTTATATTGTGGTTGAGTTTGATGTTGGCTGAGTTATTGCTTATGTTGTGGCTGAGTTTGTTGTATTATGGCTGAGTTATACTATATTGTGGCTGATTTTTATTTCTATTGCGGCTGAGTTATGTATTATGTTGTGGCTGAGTTTGCTGCATTATGGCTGAGTTATACTATGTTGTGGCTGAGTTTTGTTTCTATCACGACTGAGTTATGTATTATGTTGTGGCTGAGTTTGTTGTATTATAGCTGAGCTATATTATGTTTTGGCTGAGTTTTGTTTCTATTACGGCTGAGTTATGTATTATGTTGTGACTAAGTTAATTTTTCTATTGCGGTTGATTTATATATATGTGTTCTAAGATCAGATGGATGTTTATGAAGATCAAGCACAAGATTATCCTCTAATATTTTACGCTGAAGGGACTTCTAAAACCTAATATTCCTGCCAATCTTTGAAAACCTAAACAGAAGCAATTTGTGTTTCGAAGGAGGAAAGACAAATACATTCCACAAAACGACCAAGTTGGCGATTGTGTAATGTATTCATTGAAATTTGTGGAATGTTTGACGCTTGGCGTAACTTTTGATAAGATAAATGATAAGAATATTCAAGGTATAGGAGTGAAGATGGCAGCAGCTATTCTATATGAAGGAAGAAATTGGATGTATCAGCCGTATCGTTTCTATAAGCTAGCCGTATCTCTTTATATAACTCAGCCATACCACAAATATAGCCTAATATCAAAAAAGTTTAATAAAACCCAGCCGTATCGTTTCTATAAGCCAGCCATAACGCTTCATATAACTTAGCCATACCACAAACAGACCCTAAAATCAAAAAACAATTAATATAACCCAGCCGTATCGGTTCTATAAGCCAGCCGTAACGCTTCATATAACTTAGCCAAACCACAAACATACCCTAATATTGAAAAATGTACTTTAATATGTTATTAGAAATAAATATTATCAATTTTAGATGAATATATAATCAACATAATGTGTATATCTCATTGAATTTACAAGTTTCAAATCGATCATGATCTTGAGGTATATGTTGTCTTAAAACCTTATATGTGTCTACATAGGTGTTGAGCGCACCAAATACAAAGTATATAATATAATTTTTTTTTCAACCGAATTTGTGTAATTTTTTATATTTTATAATGGTAACTAAACCATAAAACCTAAATCCTAAACACTAAACCCCAAATAATTTACCCTAAACCCTAAAACATAAACTTATCATAAACATAACTCAGCTGTAACATGTCAGTAACTCAGTCGCAAAGTGTAATCTAATCGCGGTGTTTCGTATTTTTAGGCGGGAACTAAATACTTGTGAAACACTAGGGTGGGCAGGAACATTACGCAACCATGGCCGTTGATTGATTTTAATCTAAGGGTTCAAAATTATCATTTTCTCTATCCTCACCCTTCTTTATCATTGGTTAATCTTTCTTTTTCAAGGATATGGCCATTGATTAAATAAAATCTAAAGGTCAAAAATCATTCTCTCATTTTCTTATAATTGACGGGACTTAACTGTTTCATCACTCTCTTTGACTATTTTTTTTTCTGAAAGACGACAAATCCGATGAGAGAGGGAGCATTAGGATATCGAATCACCATACAAGATGGAACATCAGGATGTCAGATCACCATACAAATATTAGAGGAAAGAAAGCTTCTTCTCTAACCAACCACCATCGAAGATGGCGACGACTACAATAGATCTCTCTCCAATTTTTGTTTTTTTTTCTAGATCTATGTTGTTTATGCATATGTCTCTTGATTCCTAATCTATAGACTCGTATTTTAGTTTTTTTTTTTTGTTTCTAACTTCAATTTAAGTTTGGATGATGAATCTTGAACTTGTCAGAAGCTTTTTTGGTCGACTTGGTTATTAAAAAGTCGTATTGTAACCATAACTAGCATTTGATTATAACAAAACTCAGCCATAATTTGATTATAACTTAGCTGTAACGTAATAACTCAGCCGTAAAGTATGCATAACTCAGCCGTAAAGTATGCATAACTCAGCCCTAATGTATATATAACTCAGTTGCAATTTGATGAGTTATAACTCAGCCGTAACGTATGCATAACTCAGCCGTAAAGTATGCATAACTCAGCTATAAAATATGCATAACTCAGCCATAAAGTATGCATAACTCATCCATAACGTATGCATAACTCAACTGCAATTTGATGAGTTATAACTCAGCCGTAACGTATGCATAACTCAGCCGTAAATTATGCATAACTCAACCGTAACGTATGTATAACTCAGCCGTAAATTATGCATAACTCAGACCTAACGTATGCATAACTCAGCCGTAACGTATATGAATGGTATGTCAGCCGTAATGTTCCTATAAGTCAGCCTTCAAATGTAATTTGTTTCACGACGTTTCGTATTTTGGGCGAGAATAAATCATTAAATCAACCCTGAACACAATATTAAAACTTCAATATCTTCTTAAGTTTGAACCTCATATTCATATGATGCAAAATCTGAGTCATTAAACATATAAAATTAGCTTTCAAATTCATCATCTTCTTCGTATTCTCTTTTTTCTTTTTTCTTACAATTTATGGAACTTAGCTTTTTCATTTCTCTTTTTGACTATTTATTCTTCTGCAAGACGCCGAATTCGATGGGGAGGGAGCAACAAGATGTCAGACCACCATACATGACACTGGAGGAGAGGAAGATTCTTCTCAACTGACCATCATCGAAGACGACGATTGCAGTAAATCTGTCTCAGATTTTTAATTTTTTCAAATCTATGTTTCTTACACCCAGTTGCCGAAAAAATAATTACCAGATCCATAAGATCTAAGAGAGAGATGAAGAAGATAGATAAAGAAGATGAAGAATGAAGAATAATACTCTGCGTCTCTAACATAAATCCTTATTTTATCTTTTCAATGTTAGTAATGACATGGTTAGTAAGAGTTGATGACATGGATGATGACATGAAAAATTGGTAAGTCAGCCACCAAACGAACACATAACTCAGCCTAAATAAACCAGCCATCAAGTACAACGTAAACCAGCTGAAACATGAATACTATTTCAGTAATTAATATTTTACTAATAAACTAGCCATCAAGTACAACGTAAACCAGCTGAAACATGAATACTATTTCAGTAATTAATCTTTTACTAATAAATCAGCCATAATTAGGATGGAAAATTATAAGTCAGCTGTATCGTCAAATAAATCAGCCGTCAAACGAATGATATTCTAGTAATTAATCTTTCGCTAATAAGTCAGCCGTAATTATGTTGAGTTTACTGTTAATCCAGCTAATTACAGCTGATTAAATATAACTCAGCCATAACAACCTCTCATAAGTCAGCCGTAAATTTAATAACTCAGCCAGGCGATGTTCATTAACCCAGCCAGCGAAACATAATTCAGCCATGTCT